TGTGTGCCAATCAGAGAGCGGCAATGATGTCATTTCCTTATTTGGGTCAAGTCCCGCCACACGGGGACAGGGTTACCAAATTTGGCCCCAGCGGTCATGGTGCCCAGTCACACCCATGCTTCATTTCTCACAACTTCTTCATGGTCCTCCATCTTTCAGCACAAAGGTTCTATGAACCATATTATAGTGCTTTTGTGCTGGACAAAAGTTATAATGAAACTTCTCTTTGCCCCAAGTTATATGACACAGTGTCAATAATTTTATTCTCTCATATATCATAGCACATATATTATACATGTAACAGTATCATCTATTCCACATATTGTTGAATAGATTTGGACTTGAATGATGACAATTTTATCTACAATCTATAATATAACGTTACCAATATAAAACAATTAACAACTATTGCTGACAGCTATTTAAGTAAGCTTTTAACAAACAAACAAAAATACCAAGGATAGTGTCCACTTGTTTATACTTTGGCAACTTATATAACATTAACATAATATAGGAAGCTGGTATTGTAGTGAGAACTTCATAATTTGGCAAACTATTAATTTCAATTCATTAATAACAGCTTTCAGACTTTTTGACTGTCTCCACAACTTTTTGCAGGTTGACCAAAAAGTCTGTCTAACTTTTTTAAGTTAGTCTGTTAACGTTAGATTCCTCCACAAACTTTAATCTGATTTTCACCTTGGCTGACTCAGGTTTTGTATAACTTCTATGTTACTTCCTCAGAGTTTTTTTTCAGATGACGTGGTAGTGCCTATAAACCCCCCACTGTTACAGACACACCAAACCTGCCCGAGTGACCACCTCTACATTAGGATCACCTGGCCAATATGACTACTTTGTGGTGGTCTCATTTTCTCATTGATACAACCATTATTTTAAGAATCCTATCCATAGTGACCACCTGTCCACATAATGGTAGACTAGATTTTATGGTCTTGAAAGTCTTCTTGGGAAGTTGTTTTTTGACTGTACCAGAGTGATGTGAGGGGGTGCTGATTTGTGTGCCATGGATCTAACAATAGTACAGAAAATATGGAAACAACCAAAACAGCCAGAGATCATTTATGCAAAAGTAAAACTATCAAATTTTTCTGTAACCTGATATGAACAGTGCGTCGTTGTTCTTGCTTCAAATAGAAGTGTCATGCTTCTAGTCTAATGAGCTAAACAAATTAATTCTACAATCTCATATCAAACGATTCTTGCCTCATTAGCAAGTGCTAGAATGGAAACTATCATAATTTGTTATGCTGTCTACAAACAAACAAACCTATCTACAAATGGAATGTAAAAAGCCATACCGACCCATTTCATAATTTATTCTCTGTAATATTGTTCACCGAATACCTTTTTCCACAGATACACAAGGTCTCCTGTTTGACACAGATAAATACATAATGTAGCATTCAGCACCGATCAACTGACAGTTTGACACAAACTTGCCATGATTTCTTTCATCTAGAATTAAACA